GCAAGGATTTCTCCCACTTAATTGATACCGATAAGAGTAAAACTAACCTTTCAGGAGCACTTAGCTTCAATGAAGTGTGATCACAAAAAAAATTATATACCTTACAGACAGTTCCCCCTCACTGTTGCTTTCCAGCGTTGTTTCCGTTTGGCAGAATGCTGCTCCAACAGACAAGAGTTCAAAATGTGTATCTGACAAAATATTTAGTGTGCTGAACAGCACTTCTGAATGCAGACAGGTGCCCAATTAGCATTTACACAGGTCAATGAATGTGTATTTTGATAAGTTTGCAGTATTAACAGTAACTCCAGGCGCCTTGTCTTACCAGTATTTAAGATGAGCTGCTTAGATAAAATGTTCAGCAGGTTTACTATCTATTTGGGGAATTTCTGGTTCTTGGTGTGATATGCTAATTAGCGTAGAGTTGGGATAGTAAGCTACTAAGTATACCACTTAGCTGTGGAGTAATCTTTATCCTTTCAAATTCTAATGGGTTTTGCTGAATATCTTTATAGTATGTGGAAGACTTATTTCCTCTTCTCCTTGTTGTTTAAATTGCTAATGAGTCTGTAGCATTAGGTTAGAAACTCCCTTTTTGCCAGATTGCATTACAATAACTAAGTATCTTTGATTCATCTCAGCAAATGTCCCTGCTTCCTTTCTAAACCTGCTAGCTGGGCAAAGAATGTTCTTTGTGTATTTTTGTCCACTGAGTCTAACTGCCTGTGCAACTGCACTATCACATTCCTGCACACTTTCCTTCAGAGATGGGGAGCAGGGAACTTAAATCATCCCACTTCTGTCCTTCCTCCTCACACTCAAAAAGATGTTGAACAGTTGGCATTTTAGCTGGAGTTTCTGACTTCATGCTCCACTGCAGACACTGAAATCTGAGCTCTTCTGATAGGACATTTAGGTCATCCTTGTAAGCCAGCTTTAAGCAAGGGAGATCTTCCACAGTGTTAACAAAATAAGCAGTTCAATCAAGAATGCCTTCAAAGCAATTTTGTGCCTTGCTGCAGCTGTTATCTACTTCCCCTTCCTTGACTTCTTCATCCTCTTGTGCAGTACTGTGAGAATAGCATGACCTGTGCTGCTGGGCATGAGTTAGTAACACAGCTCCTGGCTGTGAGCGAAGGGTGGCTTGAGAGCCATCACCTCCTGTGTGGTTGAGGCTTGGGAGTCAGGAATCAAGCCACCATCCCTTACTGATTTCCTTGTCTGGCTCCAGGAAGATGGGTTTGTGTGCTATCACTATGCTGGTTTTGAGGTTAGTTAAAGGAGAGATCTATGAACTAAGTGGATATTTTTTCTTTTCAGGAAGAAGAGATGCCAGAAGTAGAAATTGACATTGATGACCTTCTTGATGCAGCTAATGAAGAGGAGAGAGCTCTCAAATTACAGGTAATATTATTTTATAATTTTAAATCAGAACGGGGCTGAAGTAATGCATTTAGATCCATATCTTGTGTTTGATTGAATTCACTGTAAGTGTAGAATTAGAACTGAGAGATTCTTAGGTCTGAGCTTACCATAGACTGTTCAAAGGTAATCAACATCCTTGTAGATGAAAAATTTCTGGAAGATAGGTGATAACAGGAGTAAATAAAAGTTCAAAGAATCCAGTATTATAGGGAAATATGCTAAGCTATATAAGCCTCATTCTAATTTGTACAAGTATAAGAAAATAAAGAACAGAAAACTTAGAACAGTCACACAGAAAAGCTATATGGCTGAGATTCAGTTATAATGGCCAGATAGTTTCTTTCAGCAGCAGAAACATATAAAGATGTGTATACAGATCAGAAATCTTCCTTTGTCCGTAGACTATTGGCAATTATTTCTCTGTCTCTGCTAGCTAGAAATTGGAACCCATCAAGCTACCTTGGAGTAACCTGTCAAAAAGCTTGAGGAAAGGTAAGATGGTCAGGAACAGGAATTAATAGGGAAATTCAAAAGGGTCTGCTGAAATGAAACAGTTCAAAACAGCTGTCTAATTCTTTGAATCCTCTATGAGGTAGAAGCTAATGAAAGGAAGAATGAGGGGGAGAAAAAAAGAAATAAAATTGTCTTAATATCTATCTATTTATATCTATCTATCCATCTATCTAAATCAAGGTGTAAAACCAATATGAAAAGGCTCTGTTTATAATCTTTTCAGACACATTATTAAAAGGAAAACTGCTCCAGGGTCATGTTTTGCCCTCAGCTGCTTCTGGGAGGTGACTAATGTGGTGCTTAGATGCAGCTCATCTGATTTTAGTGCATGTTGGCACCCTTTTCTCAGTGCCACTGGCCAGCCACAGAGACGTTGGGCATGGCCCTGGGCTGTTTACTGAGAATTCATTAATAGCTTTGCTGCTTCTGCCTAAACTTGCTGCAGCAGCATCCCTGCTAGGATTAACTGTCTGTGCTTCTGCGTTACAAAGACTCTGGTGCCCTCACAGAATGCCTTTCACATTTCTGTTACTGGAAGAAATGTTCTTGGATTGTCCTTTTTTTTTTTTTTTTTTTTTTGGAGAGAAAGAGAGGGGTTTTATAACTTCCTACCTAGAGGAAGAAGCCATTGCTTCTCTCCTGTTGCAAATCATTCTGATCCAGCTAGAGTGCAAAGATAACTTGCTATAACACTTGCTTTTTAGTAGCATCTTCATTCAGTCATTCCTGGTTCTTGCTCCTTTTCTTCCCCCCCCTGTCTTGTCAGGTTTCATACTGTGACTTGTTTATGTTCACTGTTATTCGCTATGGGAACTGACGCTTTCATATTTTGCTTCTAGGAAACTCTTGTAGATTGCTACAAACCAACAGAGGTAAAAGACTTTTCTTAAATACTATTCACGTGTGGAAACTGTAGCTATGTTCAAGATAAAGTAACTCTATTTTTATACTTATGGTAAAGTAATTAGAGGAATGTTAATTGATAGCTGATGGACTTTAGGCTTTATATGCTGGAAATGTTTGTGCCCTGTCCCTTAGCTACAGTAGGAACATGATTCTGCTGTGTGAGGGAACTGCTGGTCATTCCAGCTTAAGTATCAATATTGTCTTCTGTAATGTCCATATTGACTATACTGATGCTTAAAGCTGTCATGTGATAGGGAAACTAAACAGTTCTCATCAGATGGTTAAAATATTTGCGTGATAGACTGTAGTCTTCAATCTGAAAGCATTTAATTTTATCTCTGACAGTAAAATTGTTTATTCTGAGAACTGTTATGCAGATATGCAGCTTGGTTAATTGTATTTGTGAATGGACTTGAAAAGAATTGTGGGATAATCTGAATTAGCAAGATTTAGTTACTCAGCTTTCAACTTGCATATCTATTAATGTGTCCAGTGCCAATATAGCCTACTTCTCGTATAGTAATATGTGCTTACTAGGAAGAGTAAATATTGTAAAAAAAACCTTGGACTCACTGATAAGAAAAAAAAACTAGTCAAAAGTCTAGGTCACAGGTCAGTTTCTTGGTTCCATTTATAAGGTCAGTGCTTTCCCAGAAGTGGCAGCTGCTGCACAGTATTTATTAGAGGTGGTGGCTTACAGGATTCCCCTAATCAGAGACCTTTCAGCTGTGCGGGACTAGAAGCCAGGTGTTGGGTTCTTGAAACAAGGCTTGCAGAGAGGCTGGTTCTTTTGTAATACCTGCATCTGTTACCACATGAAGTACTGAGGCTTAAGGATAGTCTGTCAGGACTGTCAGGAAGAACCACTGGGTGGTTGAATAGGCACTTCCCAGTCCATCAGATACTTTCTTCCGGGCTTTTCCATTTTTATTGATTCCTGTGGCAGATTGGGGAAATTCTCCGTAATTGTTATTATAGTTGCTGCTACAAACTTTTTGACAGGGAAGAGAATTGACCTGGAAAGACTTACATGACAACACTTGTGTGGCTTGATCTGTGTTGTCCTTGGTTTCTTTACAGCAGGTAACACACAATCTTCCATTGTGGGATGCCATAATACCAAGTCTTCAGATGTCTCACTGTAGTAATGCTACACTACAGATGACCCCTGTCAGCCTCCTCCAGCCTTTTCTAAGCACATGCAATTGAACCTTGGTGGCTCTTCTTAAGATAGGTGTGAAGACTGATACGGCATGTGGAGCCTGACATGGCTCTTCTCTCAGGCTAGAGAGAAAAAGCCAGAGTCGTGACCAGGTGGTAGGAATAGGCTGCCAAGAGTTTAGCAGTCATTCAATACTGTGTATGTGAAGGCAGATGAAGAAGGCAGGGACTCAAATAATTACTCTTCTTCCTTCTTCAATGAACGTATAAGCTGAAACTTGACACATTGCAAGGGCACATTTCAGGGAGCTGATAAGGGTGCATGACAGATATTAGTGAGTTTTCTGCTGGAAACCTTGCCATGCTGGCAAAATTAAGATGGCATGGCAGTGCACAGGAAAAAACATCCTGGACACATGTGCTTGACTGCTCTCAAGGCACTTGGATGAGGGTGAGATTTTAATACTGAAGTGGTGACTTGTGTCTTCAGTCATCTGCTAAAGGAATGGAGGCAGTTCCCTTATCTGGGAGAATATTTGTCTTCCTTGACAATCTTTCGAGACAGCCAAGTTGAGTGGAGTACTTAATCCACTCTTCTGTTAGGATAATTGCCAAAATGAGTGTCACTTCCCAGCACTGTTTTCAAAGCAGCAGCTTTTCTTCATCTATGGCATGTAATACTGCATGACTGCTAACTAAGGCCACATAAAAATAGAGATTTTTAACATGCCATGTGTGGACTAAGAACAGCCTTTAAGTTGGCTTAAAATTGCTATATGAGGATCTACACTTCATCTAGAAAATCTGCAGTCCTTTTATATTTGCAGACCATTCAAAACTATTAAGGTAGTTGGCTTGTGAAAGGATTTTTAGAAGATTTGTGGAGAATGGATATGAGCTGATGGAATTTATTCTGACCAATCAGGATATCATCATATCATCAAGAGTAATACAGTTTGCAAAAGGCAGTAATTCCTAACTGGGGAAAAAGTTATATAATATGATGCCTCTGCTATTCAAACATAAAGAAAAATAGTGCAGGCAGAAAGCTTAATAACTTGAAGCTCTTATCCCATCTGTTAAAAAAAAAACTCTCCGAACATGCAAATGTGCATTTTGGGTCAGTTTTGCTCAGTGCCTTCCATTTAGACTAAAAGTTTAGGAAAGACTGAGGGATTTTTGCATGTACTCTGGAATGACTTGTCATCAGAGGAAATGTAGTTAACCAGGTCACTTGAAAGATGGAAGGAACTCTGAGCCTCTTTAATAATTTGGTCAAATATAGTAGCTGGCTGTAAGTTGGGAGGAACTGTTATGAAACCTTTCTTCTAATGGAAATATAGATAGTCTGTTGAACGTGCTCTAAAATGTTAAAAGCTTTTCTAAGGTAGTAGTTATGGCTGTTTTAATTTGTATGGAAATATGCTTAATGTGGGAACTCCATGTAACAAGTCATGCACACTAACTTAAGGGGTATGTTATCTGCTAAATCAGTGCCATAACCAAATTTTGGATCTGAACTTTCATGGCTGAAGAGTAGCAGGGAGCAGCATCCTCCTCCTGCATCATCGGTGTGCCAGAGCAGCCAGTTCTTCATTCAGTCCCTTTGTCAAGTTGCTGTCTCAGTTCTGTCTATATGATGGAGAATCTTAACGTAGATCACAGGGAATTTCAACTCTCATGTTAGCAGTGAATGTAACAAAGAAATTTAAATATAATCTGCAATCCTGATGATAAGGTTTAGATACTTGACAGTAGACTTCTATTTAGGATAGGAAGACTATTGTGGCTGTGAAATCAATGAGGTTTTTTCAAGATATATGCTTTGAAGAAGGCTGACTAAATCTGTGTTACTATATCTCTGGTATTGTTAGCAGCAAAACCACTCATTTACACTGGGCATTGCAGAAGATCTAAAATGTTTGTGGTCGATGTGAATTAGAGCTTCCCCTGGTGGGACTGCCAAAGAGATGACAGAAGAAATGGCAAGTAAACTCTTAAACTACTATGGAAGAGAAATCCAATGAGTGGGCAATTTTTATCCTTACTTACTCCAAAAGATGCAGCTGAGCTACACAATGGCTGCAGATGATGAATGTTTTAAGAGAACTGGATAAATTAGATTTGTGGTTTATTTGATTCTTTCTTTTCTCATAGAAATATGCAAAGCTTCAGATTGATTGGCCAGGAGATCTCTCTCATTCAGTCAAGATTAAATCTATCCTGACCATTTTCTTAGTACGAAACTCAGTGCAGAATGAGAGAAATAGGAGATGAAGTTGCATTGCTGGGAACTTTGACTTAATGATTTTCAATAAGATTTGCCAACAAACTATGTTGAATTGTTGTGCATATTTTCTGGAAAACTTAAGCAAAGATTTAAGTCACTGACTACTCATTTACTATTTCAGCAGCTTTTAAAACTTCATTTTTAAAAATATAGAGATGCATTTGCTTAACTATGTATTTTGCAAAGTTTAATTCCTAACTGGAGCAAATGACAGGCTTGTGATGCAGCTTGCAAGAGTGGTCTAGGCACTGTGGATTTAAAACTGAAAACTGTTTTGTTCAAACAATATATGTATTTGGTATGCAGGCATTAGTAGAAAGCTCAGTGTTCCTGAAAGAGAACCTCAAAACTTTTGAAGGATTGTACATTTATTTTGGTACTACTATGTAATGAATTATTTCAAGTTGTTGTTACTACTTGTTTTTTCTACATAATTGCAAGGCAGCAATATGTAGCATAGCCATTTGAAACACTAGTCACTATAGATGTGTCCTAAAGCCTCAGTGCAGTGTGCAGCCTTACATCTGCGTGAGCCTAGGAACTCATAGACATGTATTGCAGGGCAGCTGATGGGGTAGTAAATTATTAAGTCACAGTAACTGTATTATGTGCCCATATTGTTTGAAATCACATAGGACAATTTGTAGAGAAAAAAGGTTAAGAATCATGCATATTTAAAAGCAATGCAGATGGAGGCATTTCTAGTAAAACATGATTTCTTGTTCATCCATTTGATCACTGAATTCAGTAAACAAACTCTTTATGTGGCTGCTGAGATCTGCCCTATACCGTACTACAGTGTTGGAAGGATTTAATCTTTCGTGTTTTCATTTCTGCAAGTACTCCTGAATACAACTAATAAATACCCATAGCAGTATTCCTTCAAGAATACAGGAAGAGCATACAGTGACTTGGCAAGAATAAGCTGTACTTGTTTACATGCCGCCAAATTGGAGAATAACTGGGCTGCAGGTCTTTACCATGGCTAAGCATTGTGATATGTAGTTAGTGCCTTGTACAGGGCTCAGTGAGAACCTAAATTGCTGCATATTGTTGTCCTCTGGACACTAATAGTGCTGTGGCCTCATTGGAGAGGGTGTATTGAGGCAGCCTCTGGTCCTGTTCTCTCACAACATCTCTGCCTCGTCAGTTCTCTTCTTTCTGTACCACTGGCTTCAGGTTTGAGCCTGTGTGGAAGGGAAGGTGTTTGGCAGTAGGACGGTTAGAGTTCCCTCTTTTTCCTCCTTCTTCCCCCCCACCCCGCCACCCCCTTTTCACATTCAGATGGCGCTGCTTTTTTTTTTTTTTTTTTTTTTTTTTTTTTTTTTTTTTTTTTTTTTTTTTTTTTTTTTTTTTTTTTTTTTTTTTTTTTTTTTTTTTTTTTTTTTTTTTTTTTTTTTTTTTTTTTTTTGTAATTATTTAATTTCTTCCACGGGTAGCTGTGGGATTGCTCTCCAGGCTGACTTTAGTTTTTACATCCAACCAATCAGGCTGTCTCCAAGAAATAGCCTTGCGCAAACAGTTAAGGAAATCTTGATTTTTGACTTGGCTGCAGGGAAGCAAAGCTGTGAAGGAAAGCTGACTTAGGATTCATTTCATGCTCTAGTGAAGCAGGTGGACTAGAAACTCTAAATTTTAGTCTAAGAACTAGTCCTACTACATGTGTACTGTTTCTGGAAGAGAAATCTGGAGAGACAGAGTCTAATTAGTTTCCAGAATTAATTGGAAGACTTGAATAGAAAGCCTAGAATTCATTTTTGGGCAAATGACCTCATTAAAACAATGAGTCACACCACCAAAGCAGAGAGGTGATTTCCTCCCCTTTCCTGATTTATCATTTCACCTTTGTTTGCCATCTTTTGTTTGCTTTTTTGTTTAGTTTTTTTTTTTCCCCCTAAGGCTGAATATAGATGAGTTCAAATGAACTGTAGATTTAGTCTCTGTCTCTCATTTAAATTTGCCTTTAGAATTAGAAATATGTCTTCTAGAAATAATATAGTATTATAAATTAACAGGATTCTCAGTACTTGTAACAAGGATGTCTCTTTGTAGAATATCTGCAAAAATAATTTAAACCAAGTTTGTGTAAATTTTTGCTTGTTTAAAAATTTTTTATTTTTTATTTACTAATGCACAAAATGCTGTTATGGGATTTTTCTTCTGTTAAAAGTGGATGTAGCCTGTGTATTCCTGGCTGTAACTCTCCAAAGAATAATTAATAAGTTCTTGAATCTTTAGCTGAGTTATTCTTATACGTTTCTCAACTCTGTGAATTAAATCAGTGTAATAGGTAGATAATTCAATCTGTGTTACAGGACTACTTTTAACATAGATTTGTACATGATCAGCTTTCAGATGCTAAATTTCAGCATATCTCGTTAGAAGGGATTTCAATAAAATGCTCTGTGTAAAATGATTTTTGTGTACGAGGTGGAGACAGATGTCTATATTAACCCTTGACTCAAATGGCCACAAGAAACAAAACTGACATTTCTGAGTGATGACTAAAGGAAAAAAAAGAAGGGTATTACTGTCATAAAGCAGAGTTAGTTATAAAGGGAAGGCTTATTGGAATGCTGTGAAGTCTCCTTTCCTGCCTCCATAAGGGAAAGTGTACATCTTTTCTAGAATGCTGCCTTTCCCTGATGGGGAGCTGCAAAGCAGGAAAGGCAGAGGCGCACCAGAGCAGAGCAGAGCTGTGTTAGTGACAGGCAGCTCCATGCAAGTGTCAGATGCAAAATGATACTTAAATTAGAAATGTGCTGACCTAGTGCTGTGGTTTGTGCATCCATGGGATGTGCACAACAGCCCTACTGCATTATCCAAAATGTCTGCCACATACAAAATGCTCTTGTTGGGTTTTACAGTTTCATACTGCAGACCCTTATTTCAAGAAAAAATAGCTCCTGAAGGGTAAAGCATCGTAAATTATTATATGAACTTTTTCAAATGAATGCTTCCTCTGCCTTAAGAATAGCTGCAGTTACCTCAGATCTGCTAAGGGCTTGTCCCTACAGTGTGGTTAATTTTGGCAGCCCTAAGAAGTTTCCAGATGGTGTTCAAACTTGCCTGAAAACTTCAAGCAAGTATCTTGTTTTGCAAAAGAAGACGCTTGTGATACTTCTTCAAAATATAAGGGGAGGAATTCCTCTCTTGCTTTAATGTCATATTGAAAAGCAACTGACCTGTGGCTGTGTTTCATATCTAAGGGAGACTTGCTCCAAACTCCCCCAAGAGAAAATGGGCAGAGAAATGGCAGTACCATAGATGTCCCTGATCACTCTGCATATGCCCCTTCCTGTAAGGCTCTTACTTTGAACTTCTTTGAAGCTGTTGGACAGTTTCCAGATGCAGTGCCTTGTTGCTGCCTTGATGGTGAATGAAGGTGATATAGAGTATTTGTGACTTGAACAGAAAATTAAGTTTTTCAAAGGGAAGAACTGCACTTCCACCCATTCCTTCCCAAAGCTGTCTTACTCTGATGTTTTGGCATAGGAGTATAGGAGTTTTTTTCATGGAAAGAGCTGTTGAAAGTCAATAATAATGGCCTTAATCCCAAGTAAAAATCTTTTAAGATAATTTTAGGGTCTTTATTTCTATAATGATTTTACTGCAGGGCTTTATTTAAGTTTGGTAGTAAAAAATCCTAAAGTGTGTTTATATGTTTCAAGCAGCAGCATGCCACGTAGTTTTGCATTATCTATCAGGTCTTTACAATGATCAAGTGTTGACAGAACCAATGCAAAGTGCATTGAAAACTGTGAACTTTCAGAGTAAGCATGTCTTCCTCATTTTTCTGATTTTCTGAGTGGAAAAGTACTGGACTCTGACAAGTTTAGAGTAGACATTGCAGTGGCTTATGCCTACGTGAAAAAACATGATTTCTGGAGGGTAGAGGGGGAGGATTTGGAGTCTTAAAAAATCTGTTTTTCTGGTCATCCTTTTAGGCTGTCTATCCAGGTGGGAAACGTGGTATTGATATACGCAGATATATTCTTGAACTGGCCTTGGCTTAATTCAGGGGTGGAGGCCAGAATATCAAAGGTTCTTAGTGAGTGTTTGTAGACCACAGTGATGTGTATGCTGCGCTGCCTTTGCTGCTGTTGGTTTCAGCCACAGGTAGTGTTGGTGCTGTGATAACCATGGTGCAACAGCATATGCAGCTCACTATAAAGATGCGTAAAAGGTCAGGAAAGGAAATTGGTTTCTTGGGATGATACCTGCCAGTGTTGTGGTTCTGCTAGAAAAACCTGGCATATTTCTCAAGTTAAAATACACGTTTACAGAGACTTTCCTTATGCAAAGTGTAGTACCTGGTTAATATATGTTTCTGTGTGAGTTTTTTTGAGAGGTACTGTGTTGTCTTTTAGGTGATAACTTTGTTCACTGGAATTTTTAGCTTCAAGCATTCAGAGAGGAAGTCATGCTTTTTATTGTTTCATAGAATTATAGAATGATCTGGGTTGGAAGGCACCTTAGAGAGCAACTAGTTTGACCCCCTGCCAAGGGCAGGGACAACTTCCACTAGACCTGGTTGCTAAAAGTCCTATCCAACCTGGCTTTTCACGTAACCTGAATGACAAAATCTATAATTACATTCCATGTTTATAGCTAACAGCTTTCTTATACAGTACTGTGGGTAAACATTATTTTCCCAGTGTGACAGTAAGATGATTTAGCTTTTAATGCATCTGCAGTTACCATAAGAAATGGTATACCAGAAAAACTTCAGATAATGATGCAACTCTGTAAGCTTCTGTTGTCACACAGACTGAATTGGTTTGGTTTGAGTTTTTTTTGGGGGGGTGGGGGTGGATTTGGTTGATTGGTTGGTTTTTTGTGTAGTGTTTTGCTTTGGGGTTTGTTTTTGTTTTTGTTTTGTTTTGTTTTTTTTTTTTGTTTGTTTGTTTGGTTTGGAGTTTTTTTAGGGTTAGGGTTTTTTTTCCAGAGTACTATCATTCACTTAGCTCTGCAACCGGTTCCATCCGTCATAAGCCAGTGGTGCTACCTCTGGCTCCTTGTTCCTGCCTTGCCTCACTAAGCGTTAGTGTGGGCTGAGTGTTCAGTCTGCTCAGAGGGCTGAGCCAGCTTGGAAAGTAGCAGGCAAAGAGGAAAAACAGCTGCATTTTTAGCCATATCTTCTTTCTGTTACAGCTGAGTATGCAGCCAACCAAAATGCTAGTGCCGGCACGTAGAGTGGTGAGAGAAACACCTCTTTTGGCAGGAGTGCTGATTTCTGTGCAGGCTTAAGTTGTGAAAGTTGGCTTTGACTGTTTGCATTGTATCCAGCCATAGATTTTGCTCCATTCAATAGCTGGTAGATCACCCTGTGTGGTAAAAGCCTGAAAGATGGCTAACAACTGAGCCAGCACACTCACAAGGAAAAGCTAGTCGTTCACAGCTCTGCTGGGTGATGAGGACATGCTTATAAGGTTTCTGATGATCAGGCCAGAGAAATTCTAGCTTAGCAGTAAAAGCTTAAATAAAAATGTGTAGTTTGCTTTCTAAAAATTCTCAATCATGGTATTATGGAATCATTAAAATTACTCATTTTCTATTTTTTTCCCTAGGAATTTATCAAAGAGCTGCTAACTCGGATAAGAGGAATGAGGAAACTCAGTCCCCCTCAAAAGAAGAGTATATAAATAACTTGAAGTAGTAGCACTCTGTAAAAGACATGGCAAGGGAAATGGGACTTTGAATACAAGACCTTTATTAAAATAATTGTCTTTCTCCACAACTTCTTTGATTTATTCAGTTTTGACTCAAGGAATTTCTTTTGTGTGTTTTAAGGGTTCTTTTTAAAGTGTCAAATTTTTTTTATCAAAAATATCAACAATTTGGATGCTGCTCAACTTCCAGCTGAGGATTACTGAAGCAAGTGAAGAATCCAAGAGTTAGTGATGAGGGGCAGCAAGCCTACATGTTGAATCAGAAGATCTTGTAAATTTACAGAGCTAGGGGACTTCTCCTTGCAACTAGTTGGATAACGTTTCTTAAGTTGGTTGTACATTTAACTCATGGATGTCAAGTTTATTGTGCTTGTCTGTACATAAATTTTAAAGTGGGTTGTGAATACTGTTTCACATGGATGGAAGGAAAAGTTTGTTATAGTAAATTATTTAAATGGTGGTTATCGCGAATTTGCTACCAGAAGGTACCAATTTAGATTACTGAAGTAAGTGCTGCCATTTTTCTAAATACCCTTAAAGCAGCTCAGTGAAGAATTTTATCATATTTCCTTGTTCAGACTGCAGCAGATGAAAATTGGGAATTGGAGCTGTGCTGACCTGTACTGAATATGGGCCTGCAGTGATATCTAGAGAAATGTCTATCACCATTTAAAAGCTGCTTCAAACTGGGGGAAAGGCAGTGATACCAAATTGAATTGCAAGTACTGTACTGCATTGAATGATGTAGTCTTAATCAAATGCAGATTCCTCTCTTATAAAGGTACACAAAGAATAATATAGTCTTTGTTTATAGCTCTGCCCTGAGAAGTGGGGAGACTTCTAAACTTTGGTTCTCTTACTTGTAAAAGCAAGAGCAGACAGAGATCCCTGCTCCCTTCTGAAAAATGTCCTAACTGGAATGTTCAATAAGCTACCATTTACTGGTAGGTGACACTAGTCAGACATTTTATATCAAGGGTGCTCCGAACATATTTTATTTTTCAAAAGAAGTACATGTTTGTGAATTTTATGTATACTGGCAAGCTTTTTTAATGTATTTAATTTTGTAATGTTTACCGATGATTTTATTTACCAGATATTTACTCAAATAAATGGAACAACTTGTGACTTGTTACATGTACACTTTACAAGACTACTGTTGCTGAGTAGGTTTGTAAATGGAATTGCTTGTCAAAAAGAGAAATCTGTGAGGTGGTAAGTACATGGGAACCCAGCTGTATTGACCCTTACTGGCTTTTACTGTGCCCAGTATCACTCAGACTCCTGTAATGTGGTGCACAGCTTCACTTTTGAAACTCTACTGCAGATGAGGCCTTCCTTTCCTGTGCCTCAAGGGATATGAAACAGGGTGGGGAAAAAAGCTTGGAAATTCTTTCAAATAAATGCTGGTAAGTTCAAGTAGTTTTCTTCTGTCCACCAAAGGTGAGTGTAGGGGAGGGCTTACATGCTGTGGCTCTCAGTTGTCTACTGAAGCTATGGCAGAAGGGGGCCTTTCAGCTGGAGGCACTCTACCTTTCTTCCATTATGTACCTTTCTGAGTTCTCAAGAAATTCCAGCAGCCCTCAGAAAAGGCTTGCCTGCAGCGTTTTAAATTTAAATCTCATGTTTTGCTGAAGCTGTAGTTTAGCTCTGGATTCCTAAGGAGTCACTGAGCAAATTTTTTTGAAATTGTGAAATGAAACTGGTGCTTCAGGGAAATTGAAGGGAGCTTGTGAATTCATCTGTTTTTGTGTTGGTGTATCCAGTTACTGTTGTCAACATTATCAGTGAGATGTCTTTGATTCTGAAAGAGGCCCATATGAATCATGTGTCTTGCCACAGGAAGACTGTCTCTCTTTGGTCTGTGCTCCTTGCAGAGGATCTCATGTAGCTAGATCTAAATGACCAAATAAACATCATCCTTTGAAGGAGGGAATGTTACAGAAAAAGCTTCTTTAACTGCTGAGGTAAGGGACCTTTTGTTAGATTTTCACTCAACTCTGGAGGCAGGAATCAGTGGTGTTAGTAAAGAAGTCTTACTTACTAGCAAGCCTGATGTTTGAGTGGGCAGGTGCTTTTGCTGGAAAACCTCTTGGTTTGTAAACCATTGAGAGCCTTTTTTGAAATCCCAGGTTTAGTATGGCCAAAAGTGGGAAAAACCTTTTGATTTGAGACCTGTTGGCAACTCTCAAATTTAGAGTTTGGAGCTGGAGTCTGAACTGTCTGCTTATGGGTACTGTTCCTGGACTCATAAATTTATTAACATGCATTTAATACATGGATGAAAAAACTAAGAGCATGTAATATACCTTTTGAAGTTCTGAGGTGGTTACAGCTGCTTACATTTTGAAGGTGGTATTTAGAAACAACCCAAAGTATGAAAAATAAGGGTTCTAGCAATTTCAACGTCCACAAATGCATTTTGTGACTTCACTAACAATTCCATATATAACTTTTTTTCCTTTATAATAATGATGTGCAAAATCAGAAATGTGAAATAATTGCAACTGCACCAGTTCTTTGCTTTCCTACAGCAAAGTACTGTCCACAAATATTTTTTCTTTCCTGTTGTTTGACTAAAAGCTGCCCACCCAACTCTAGGCATGACACATTTGTGTCTTTTGTCCTACTCATCTTGCACTGAAGTAGCAGTGGAAAGAAACAGTCTACCCCTTCTAAAACAGTAGGTTTGATGGTACACTTAGAAGTGGTTAAGACTGGGACAGCACTTACTATTTTCTTGCCTTATGTAGATGGGTCAAGTCACTTCTGTGAAGGGTTTCATCTCCTCCAGCTCCACGGATTTTGCTGTCTTACAAGTGTCAGTGAACGAAACCAAGCTCTAAATAGCTTTTGTTTGCAGCTGGCCTGATTTTCCTGGGGACTTAAGGGGTCTCATTCTTGCTAATTTTTACTTAATGGAAATACTCTTGGCCTTGGTGTAAGTGAGGGAAGAATTGACCCATTCACTAAAGATTTAATTGTGCTTTATGTCTTTATACTGTGTGGGTGTTCTTGGCTTTGGGGCAATATTCAAGGGGCATATCAATAGCACACTGTTACTGAAACAACTTGAAATTACATCTTACAGCCCAGGCTCTTCTCTGCCTTGGCTGGAGAGCTTTCATGAGAAGGGCCAAGTCTGGCTGCAATGAGAGCTTCCTCTGGGCTTTTTAAGTGAAATGAATGAATGAAAGTAACTAACGTTCCTCCTTATAAATATGTAGTGAAGCTGAGGTTTTTGTTTTGGAATTGAAGTGCCTCTCCAGTGTGTAAAAATCTCCTGCAAGAGCGTGTGTTCCTGGGGTCTGGTTCATGGCATAATTAGCCTTTGCATGTGTTACAGCAGGAGCTGACAGTGTGATGTCTCCCATGGTTGCTCTTCTAGTTGGCTTGGAAGGAAGAGGAAAGTGCTTGTAATGATATTTAGTGTGCCTTAAGAGTCTGCAGTGACCGGGTAGCGTATTCCTGTGGTACAGAAGGAGATGAGCCATTCATCTGCCAGCCTTGCTTTTGTTCCTTCACCCCAACAGTGGGGTTTACTCCTGAAGTTGTCATGCATGCAGGGAACATGAGTGAATATGTCGAAGGGAGAGTTTTTCTATTCTCCAAGAACATGACCAAGAAAATTGAGAGCAAAATATCTGCTCTGCTTGTGCACTTCAAAGTCTTTGACAAAAAGTCTTACTAAGAGTTTCTGGTACTTTATGCTCTTAGGTATAATAGTGTATGTGAAATAGAAATTACTGAGCGATCTATTTCTATGATGATTTTTTAGATTTAAGACAGTTTTAATGTAAGCCTGCACCTCCATGGTAAAAAAAAAAAAATTACATGGGCCACATCAGTGGAGGGCCTGTTTGCTTGGACACTAGAAGAAAATACAGGTCTCATGCTAAACAAACAGCTGAACTTAAAACTCTGGTGAAATGCTGCAACAAAAGTACAAATTGCTTTTTGGCTGCATAAGATTCGTCATTGCCAGCATCATGCACAGGTGGTAAACAGGTACTGAATAACTGTGTGCAATGCTTTTTAAGGGTGTTGAGATTTAGGGAGGAAGTCGGAAAAGAAATCAAATGTTGGGAAATCCAGGAAAAAATCACTAAGAAAATAATCTGTCACGTGTTTAGCTGTTAAGAATGCAGAGGAGTCTTGCTTTGCTGCATGTATTTCTGTATGGGAAGAAAATGAGAGATGAGTGTTTTCATGCATTGGAGAGAAGCATAAGGAGGAGGAATACCTGGAAGATAAAGGAAAGAAAACTGAAGTGTGGAAGAAGATAGAGCATCTTGATGGTATTTGGTGAGGAGCCCTTTGAGCTTGCTACCTTGGGAATAGGTGAGATTGACATCTCTTAGTATATCCAAATTGAAATTGGATGCTTTTCTAGAGAAGCTTTTATTAGATGAGTTATTCAGTTTCAGTCAAGTTAATGGAAGGCCTTAAAATTCTAGACTTTTGCTTCATGGGTTTTTGTTTGTTTGTTTGGGGGTTGTGTTTTTTGTTTGTTTGTTTGGGGGTTAGGTGCTTGGTTGGTTTGTTTGGGTTTAGATTTTTGTAAAGCAGAGGAAACTAATAAGAAAATGATTTCTATGTATTGTGACCATGTAACTACATGCTTGTGTGGGGGTCAAGTCAGATTACCAATAGTAACTACAAATATTATATACAGCTTTACTACTTTTTGCTTGACTTTCATGTTGCTGGTTGTTTTTTTTTTCCTCTGAAAGTAAGCAAATAGTAAGTGTGAGCATAATTGAAGTTGCTATTGAAAACTAGAGAGCTTCAAGTGATGAAGTGATGAAGAGAAAATGTGACTAGAAAGTGCTTGATGCTGCAAATTTTATTTTTTGCCACTGGAGGATTTTGCTGTCAGTGTAAATACAGAGTGTTTCTCAAATTTTGAAATTGTTATTTATAATAATCTAACCTAGTGGTGATGGGGTTTGTTTTGGGTTTTTTTTTTTTGATAGAACTA